AGTTTCCATGTGCATCAGCTTGTTGTTATCCATATCTGGGAGCTCAATAGTTGTTGCATGATCTGCTGCATGTTGATCTGCAAAAATGGCAATGATTTTCATATCTTCTTTTTTTCCTTCACTTCATACTGTAAGGAGTCCTTCAGGGAAGTTGAGAGCTAAGATGATGTGCTCTAGTTTTTGGTGTGTTGTTCTTCCTTTGACTAGTTTTGCTGGAATGCCGATCTTGTAGCATTCCTGTTCATATCTGATTGTTTTGTCGAATGGTGATCTTGGTCTTGGTCTTCCTTGCATGTTGTCGCTTTTTTTGCCTTTGGAGACTGAGAACCATCTCTGTTCTGGGTTGTTTTCTTCTTCAGTTTCCATTTCTTCATCTGTGTCATCAATTCTGGCTATGAGGTGTTCTTTGTTAATAGAGTTTTCTGATTTCTCTTGCTGGTTTTCTGGTGTTCCAGTTGTGCTGAGATGAGTTTCTACTATGTCGTTCCAGGATGTTGTCGATGAGTTTTGACTCTGCTGAGTTGGATATTCGGTGTTCTGTTGTTGTTGAGTTTCTTGTTGTGTTGCTTCTTGTTGTATGGTGGAGTTGGTGGTGTCTTTTGTGATTTGTTGGTGGGTGTTTGGGGTTGAGTTGGTTGGTTGTTGCATTGGTTTCTTGGCTGCTGTAATGATGAGCTTCTTTGTATATAGTTGTGTTCTAATTGGGCCTGGTTCTTTCCCAGCCCTTCTCTCATATCTTAAGGTGCATTCTGTTGTTGGGGGGAGGTTATTGGAAGCTTTAGAACTTCTATTGTAGCTTGTCATCTTTCCTTGACTTTCGTTCTGTGAATTTCCAAAAAAAAGAAATTTTTAAGAAATCTGTTGTGTACGGGAAAGAGTTTTTTGTTTATACTTATTATACAATTTATAATAATCTTTTTTTGTATATATGAAATTAAAGAAAAAGTTGAAACTATATTCCAAGAGTTGAACAACTTGCAAATATTTTAGTTTTGTAAGATCTGTTGATCTGAGATAGGCAGTATTGATGGTAAAATAGCGAGTCTGTCACTTGGGGCAGGTCAAACTTGCGTAATGTCATGTAGGTTGTTCTCCTTTCCTCTACTTGAGGCATGGATTTGACTTAGCCGATCTTGAACCTATTATTAATCTTCTTCTTTCCTTTGTCACCCTTCGTCAATTGTTCAAGTCACTATTTCTTTTAGTGACTACCAAAACGATCCTCTCATGATGATGTTACTCTATAAGGGGGGTTAATTGCCAACTTCCTTTTTAGGCGCGTCTATCACACCACCACTTATAATAACTGTAATTAACACTTGCACAACCGTTTCGCACTTCTACAAGAATAGTAATTACATTTATTACTTTTTTGTATTAAGTTTCTGTTGTTTCTTTTTTATCCTCGCTCTCTTATTTATATTACTATGACTATTTGCTATAGGACTATAACTTTATGACTCATAAACTATCACACTATAAAATAAACTATCTAAACTTTTCATTACATCATGAGTCTATTTTTAAAGCATTTCCGTTACTTCAATTAGGTGTGTTATACGAATATCGCGTCGCCAGGCCTTACTGAAGCAATTTCCCCACTAACAGCAATAAAAAATATTTTGTTAATGATTATACAGATTTTTTTCCTGGTAGTTCTGGTAATGTAATCAATATTGTTTGCTTTGAAATAGTTTGCTTTAAACTTGTTTTTAATTTTTTTATATTCAAGTTGATATTGATCTTTGATTAGTTTACCTTTTGTGAAAGTTCTAAAGAAATTTACATTTTATTAACCAATATTTAAGAAGATAACCTTTAGTGAAAACCTAGAAAGGCCTTTGGGTTATTTCTAAATTTGATAAAAAGTTTAGTTTTCTGAGATTCTAAAGCAATTGGTTATCTCTTCGCAATATATGAGAATCTTGATTTGTTTATTTTCTGAAATAGTATCTCGAATATCATTATCAGGCTAACTATTGATTAAAATTGATAATGTGGCTTCTGTTTTATTAATCCAAGAAGAGAAATTGATTATGGATTATAAGTATAACTCAGATTGTATAAAGAGATTATTAATTTTTATTTCAAAAATATTTTATATATTGCATAGATTAATATTACTCTTATGTGAAGATGCAGAAAGCATGTATTATTTGTTTCCTGATTATATGAGTTTTGTATTAAGTTATTATCAAAAGGTGATACAGGTTAAGGAGTTGATACAAAAAATATTGCAGAAGAAAAATTAGGCTACATACTATTGTTATCAATTATTTTTATATTATCAAATATTTTTTTTGTAGGTGCAGGTGGTTAAAGGTATCCTGGTTTTTTTTTCAAGAGTAAAATTTTTGGTTTCTTCAAAGATAATAATATAAAGTTTCTTTTAAGAGATATGTAGACTATAGTTGAAGTTATATTTTATTATTTCTTTCGAGATATCTGTTTTATTTTTGTCTATTAATCGAAAGGTATGTTGAAATTCTATAAAGAAGTTTAGATCTTCTAGAAAAATTAGTTCCAGCAGTATTATAGTAACAAGTGTGAGTAGATGGGATATTCTAATTCTTTAATATTCTTCAAAGATAATATTAATACTTTTTAGATTATTTTGTAAGGAGTGAATAGGTATTATTCATATTTTTGAATAATTTCCTAGTTTTAAAAAGCAAATTAATTAGTATAAAGCTAGAAATTTTATTTGTCTTGATATTTTTGTAGATAATAATAACTTGGGATTTTTAAGAAAAATATGTTTATGATAGATTGTTTGCTCTTGAGAAGAAAAGATTTCTCAAAAATTTTTGCTTTTTTTTTTCAAAAAATTTTGAGTTTTCTAATTAAGTAATTATTTTGTATTGTAAATATGTTTCAAAAAGAGTTTTTTTCTTACTTTAATTTTTTTTAAAAAAGAAATAATTATAATTATATTTGTAATAAGATTGAATTTGGACTTTTTTCAAAAACTATATTATATTGTAAATATTAAGTAATGTTCTAACAATTTTGTTTATGTTATTAGTTATTTATACTCAAATTATTATTAAATACTTGTTAAATATTTTTTGTTTTTTATTTACTATTTATTAATATAATAGAATCTTTTATTCTTATATATAATTATATAACAAAATGAAATTTTTCCTATATACAATATTTATAGCCAATGAATATTATATAATTGAAGTAATAATAAAAGTATTAAAAAAAATTAATTTAGTACGTTTTATAAATTAAGGAGAAGAATGCCATTTCTACTGTATTCAAACATTTGTACAACTAATATATTTGAAGAAAGACTTATATAGTCTTTTGTATATTTTAAATCTTTTACAAATATATATTTTTTTACAATTGTAAATGTTATAGTTTTTACAAAGATTTCTTAAAAGAAAAGTTACATATATTTTGTCTTCATTTTAAATTATTTTTAGTATAAGATTTTAAAAAAACAATTAAATATTTGTTTTTTCAAATTTAATAATAAAAGACAAACAAATAATATCTTTTTACAAACATATAATAAATAATTGGAAATTATATTTAATTCAGAATAATATTATTAATTAAATTTCTTCTTAAAGTAATAAGAAAACATGTATAGTAATAGCTCTAGTATAGTTTTGTAAATTGTATTTATTCAAAAAAATTTTTTTTAGTTTTAATTTGTTGAAAATACTATATGTTATAAAATATTTGAAAGTAAAAAAAAGTTTTTAAAGATTTTTATTAAGTAATTTTATAAAAATAATTTTATAATTTTTTTATATTTATATTTATGTAATTACAAACAAAAAAATAAATAGATTATCATATTACTATTAAAATGTGTAAATTTATTTTGAAGTTTATAAAAAAGTTTTTTAATAATTTAATAAAACCCATTGAATTTAAATTTATGCTATTATAAAATCTTTGATAAAATTTTCTTATAATTTATTTTTTTATCATATGAATTTTTTTTTAAAAAAAATAAAAAACCAAAAATTTATAATTACTATAATTTTCAATATTCAAGTATCAATTCGATTTACTATTTTATAATTAAATACGATAATTTTTAAGTAATTGATAAATAAATAAATATATATATTGCCACACATTGTATGTAATTGCAGTATAGTTGAAATATGCGATGATTATAAATTGTCTGGTTATTTGAAATATTGATTATGTTTTATCAATTTTGCTTATCAAAATTCTATTTATCTAATTAAACCAAGCAATTTTTTAATTACAGTACACAGTATACTGTATTCTACTGTATAATAACTAGTGATGAAAGTCAATACAATTAATTTAAATTACTGTAAATTAATTTCGAAAATTGGATAAATTAAAAGATATACAGGAAAATAAATTTTAAATAAACTTTGGTTTTAAGTCGGATAGTCGGATTATCTAAATCATATATCTTTAGTTCAAACATTAGATTGTCCGATAGTTCAGACCGAAATGTTCCACCCCTAATCAATGACATTTCCTAATGATTTAGTAAAATACTCAAAATTGATTGTTGATAGATTGAAGAAAGAGAGTCTGATGTGATACATTTCGGATGATTATATTAGATACTGTATATTAATTATTTACTGTACATGCAAAATGCTGATTTTATGTAAAAAATCAATTTTTTGTTTACATCATACTGATCGTTTGCATAATGCATTTTCTTTATTCTATTTCTCATGCAATCAATCAATCCTATCCATTCAATTATACAGGCACAGTAATGTGTTTTATTATTTTTCATTTATTTTGTTATAGTAAAAAAAAGTTTTTGGAAGGGGGTTATTGGTGAAACTAATTTATCGAATGATTGTTGATTAAAAATAAGACGCTATTTAAAGTACAGTATATACGGCAAAAGCCGGTTCGCCGTGTTTATTGGGGAGATATCTGTCACATACGTCCAATCTCTTCCTTGCTGTATATACGATCAAATATAATCGTATCGACCAATAATAATATCCTGAATTTGTTCTGTCATGTGGTGTCGTTGACGGTCTTGATTTACAAATTTGTCGTCCCCAGTGATCTCTCGGGTACTGTTGCCGTCTGGGGTGTTTAGACGGGCGCGATTTTTTCTGCGGTATATTAGCAAACATATTATTGCAATTACTATTATCACTAAGATTATAATAAAAATTATAATTGTTGGGGACGGCGTGCTTCCACTTTCAGTGCTGTTGTCTGCAACAGGTGACGAAGTTGCTGATGAACTTGTGCTACTTTCCGAATTGTTATCTGAAGTTGCGGTCGTAGTAGATGAAGAAGTCGAAGAGATTTTACTATTTGGAACATAAATTACGCCCCACATGCCATATTTACAATGATCTCGCACTCCACAATAAAAAAATATGTTTCCAGGTGCATCAACAATGTCGTCGGTAACGGCTATCGATAGTTTGGTGTTGTTTTTTGATTGAACTGAAATGTTTATTTGAAAGAAAAGGTCAAACTGACGTTCTGGCAATTGTAGTGATTAAAGGTAAGATAAAAATTTACATGGAGTCAAAGAACTTGAGTTGGTTTTCTTCTTGACGCACGATCCAATTGGACCGGCAGACTGTATGACATTATAAGTTCCACTCCCAACAAAGTTAAATACCACCTATAAACGTCAAAGAATAATTTGAAAACTAAAATTCCATTACATGCGTATTATGATATCCCACTTACCACATCTCCTATGTTGGCAGTCATTTTCTGAGGAGAAAACTGCGGTACATCGCCTTTACCAACTTCTATAACAAATACCGCAGCAAATACATTGAAGGTGAAAATCGAATAGATGATGAATATAAACTTTACAAATTGAATTGTCATGATGAATAGCTGTTGTTGTTTCCCCACGTAATGAAATAAAACATTAATAGTCAGAGGTTTTTTATCTTGACAAGATTTTTTGGAGATTAGCGTGCTATAAATTAGGTTCTGAAGGAGTGAATACACGCACACTCTGGAAGTTATTTTGGTGCGAAGAATAAAAACTGAGACATGAAATTAGTTTATTGATGAAAAATACTTAGTTTTGCTTGGCTTTATATATTGTCTTTCATGAATTTGGCGTACAGATGTTAATCTAACACAACGCGTTCTCTTTGTGAGACCAATTGTGTTACCCACTTTGGTCATTACAATAAACGTTTTATGTAAATATTAATAAATTTTTAATGAATATTTACCGCATTTACAATTCGTGTGACCTCGTATGGTAAATATGTACATGATACAACAGCACATAGAAGAAACTTACCGAACACTTACCCACCAGAGTATTGGATGTACAATATACGATAACAAAATTCGGATAGATAAGGTATTCATCAAATTTCACTTACAGTACTGCAGTATGTGCTGAGGGTTCAACACGTGATATTATTGTTCTATAGTGAATCTAAACATTTTATAATGTACATAAGAAAAAAATATATATATGCGATTGTTGTCCTTAATATTTTGATAATACTATATTACCAATTATTGAATCAAAAAAAAAATCGTATTTAAGAAATTTCATGACCACAACCGGATTGTAGGTTCACGACATCGTAAGAAGTGAGATATTTAATTATGCATGCATGCGACTGATATTTTCACTTAAAATTATTCCGAGTTTTTTGACCAATCAAACTTGGTATTTGGTATTATGTAATTTGCTTTTGACTTATTTGGATCATTCCGACCTTATTGTGAATCCTTTATGTTATGAGTCTTATTATAACGCACATATCGTGAAAATAAAGTTACCTCTTATAAAATCAATTATCAAGAACAATTGTTTTCTAGAAGTGAACACCAAGGCTGTAAAGTCTTTCGGCGCAGTAAATTCAAAAATATTATTATAAATAAATTTCATTAATAATACTCGAAGAAAAAATGATCTCAAAAAATGAATAGTCAATTCATAATACATTAGAATCGAGACGGTTCCCTCATAATAGATGAATTGAATCTTTAACTTCATTGATTAAATATTGTTAGTGAAAGTTTATTTCGTATTAAATAAAGAAAGTATGATGTCGAAATGAGTTATTTTAATAAACTATTTCTAATGACTTAAACAACTTGACATCCATAAAAACGTATTTGTAAATAGGAATTAGATCATTAAATTTCTTGTCGTTACATTAACAGATTCATGTGTACCCCGATTTGCATGGCTATTAATGTCATAATAAAGGTCCCAAGTAGGGCTGTTAAGAAGCTTGCTGAATCCGGTTTTTTGAGTAGATTCCACAAACCTTTTAAGACAGACTCCTGGCTTGTTTCAGACAAAGTCTTAATTAAATTTAGGAAATATTGGTTCCTGCATGTCGTTTGACTTAAATTATTGATTAATTGACAGATTTTGTCGATTTAATAGATAGATAATATTAGGATATGAACCATTAATTTCGGTTTTAGTCACGTTAAATTGGCGAAATCGGCGAAATCGGTTTAACCAATAGATTTATGTAATGTTAGCAATACCATATCACGTGATAAGTATTGACAAAATCGCGAAAATCGCGACTTATATTTAATAATAACCTATTAAAAATTGATAGAGTCTTTATTATACACATTTTTTTGATTTTAATTTTAATAAGTGTAATCTAATTAGGGAACTTAGATTATTATTAATTAGTGTAATAAAAAAACCAACATATTTATTAAACTAGTATTAAAGAATACTTATTCATTAATAAGAATTAGTGAAAAAAAATCTAATAAAAAAACAAATAAATAAAATTAAGAATTGAAATATAAAAAATTCAATCTTTCAATAAATTTCTTTATTAATGCATATCAATTATCTCTAAGAATATTCTTATAATTACTAAAACTTCTTTTAAAATTAACACCAGAATTAGAAAGTCAAATATAATTTAATGTTATTTTTAATAAATTTTATAAATTTTGTTGTTTTTCTTTTCAATATTTATCTAAATCTAATTAATTATTTACTAATTCATTTAATTCACAATATATAATTTCATTAAATTGATTTTTAAATTGTAAAATAATTAAATAGAAATAATATTATGTCTACTATTTAAAATATGAATAAAAAATAAATTAAAGCATTAAATAACTTTAAAAAGAAAATAAACAAAATAATTATTGAATTTAATCAAAATCAAATTGAAAAACTTGAAAAAATTTAATTCAAATATTCAATATTTCATATTTATGTTTAAATTTTTAAAATTATTTTATTAAAAGATGTATTATTAATGATATTTTATAAAAAAACAAGTGTTATATTTAATTGTGATATTATTAAAAAAACTAAAAAAAAATTTTTAACTTTAAGAAATTTTAAATCAATTATTAATCTATAAAATATACTGTATATTATATTAAAATTAATTAATATATATTTAAAATAATCAATACAATAATTTTGTTAAAAAGATATTTAATTTTATAATAATATCATTATTTAAATCCAATTAAAATTTTTTTTCAAAAAGAAATTTAAATATTAAATATAAAAAACTATTCAAATTACAAATTTAAATTATAAATTCCATCTAATTTAATGTGTAATAATAGAAAAGTAATATTAATAGAATTTAAAAAATTTAATTTAAAATATAAAAGTCAATTTTTTTCTTATATTTAAATAAAAAAATATAATCTTAATATTTTAAATAATTTCACTCAAACTTTTAAACAGAAGCATACTTCACATGATCTAAAAGTCAATATCAAATCCAATAAGAATATCAAGAAATCACACAATAACAGCTATGGCAATATAATTCTATTCATAATTAAACTACTCTTAGACACTCTATTTATTCATAAAACTCTTTACCAACTATACTCTGACTAGTACCCTGACCAGTATCCTGATACTTAATTAAGTATGGGTCCTTAAATTATTTAGCATATAAAATTTCACAGATCAATTATGTCCCTTTTAAAGAGATATAATTAATTAATTATTACTTTAATAGGAACATAATTCAAAAAACACTTGGATCAAGTGGCCTAAATTGCAAAAAATCTTTATAAATAGTTTTTTTTTGAATTTATATTTTAAAAAAAACTTTTTTCATAGTAAGAGACATTTGAATTATGTCCACATCTTTAATTTAGAGACTCATCTTAATGCTTAGTATCCAAGATATGAGTTTTATACTAAGAATATCCATTATATCTTCAAGAGTTCTAAGACCTCCATCGAAGCTAATCAAATAATAAATAGTTATTAAATGCAAAGCATCCAATAACTGTAATATCTGGCAAATGGATTCTAATTGGATAATAATTCAGCTATTTATAGCCAAGTTATTAACATATAGAATCCATGCCGAATATCATTACATATCGGCAGTTATTGATGTGTGCATCTAATAACTGTTTTATTCGGCATATATCACTTATCGTTTATATGTTATATAGACTTTTAACTATGTAACTATATACGTTATTACAGTATAAACTTTAAATAAATAATGATTTTTTTTTTCGTTTTTCGTTTTTATTTTTTTTTTTGCCAAAAATTATACAAACATGATTACAAAAGAAATTAAAGTAAATTATTTTTTATATATTACATTATTTCTTTTTCATTATTTATATTAATTTTATTTATTTTAGAATCATTTTAAACCAACTGAAGAAGAACTTATTCAAGTATAAAAAAATAGAGTTCCAGCAAATACTATTAAATATATTAACAAATGGGTTAATATAATGAATACATGACGCAATTAAGTTGGATATAATTATACATTGGAATCACTTACTTCAACAACACAAATTGAAAAGGAAGTTTGTGAGTTTATTTATGGTGTTCGTATAACTAAAGGAGAGCAATATTCACAGGCATCATTAAAAAATGCATTGGCTTCGATCAATAGACATTTTTATGAATGCAAACTTGATTGGAAATTAAATATACTTAACAAAACCGATTTTCCAACAATTAATTCTACTGTTGATGGAATTTTAAAAGAAATGAAAAAATTGAGAATTGGAGCTGCCAAACCTTATGATGGAATAACTGATGAAGAATTAAAGCTTATTTTAAATCACAATGAAATGTCACCAAATAATACTACTGGTCTTCTTCGTCGTGTTTTTTTTTGGATTTGTCTTCTTGGATGTCTGCGAGGTGGTGAACATCAAACTTTATTAGTAGAACAGTTTGTTGATACGGATCAAGGATTATTATTTAAAAAATTTCATCAAAAAAATGATCAAGGTGAAATTGAAGGAAATCAATATACCTTTGAGATTTTATTTCCAAATGATATTTCAGATCAAATAACACCTAATACAGATATAAAAAAATATATTTCGATAAGACCAATTAAATGCAAAGCAAAAGAATTTTATTTATGTGTTTTAAAGAATGAATCAGGTTAGTAAAATTATTTATTTTATTGTTTTTTTTTTAAATAAAAAAATAACCAATTAATGTAAAAATTTAGCTATTTTAAATAATAAATGGTATTATAATTGAGCATTAGGAGAAAAACGAATTCAAGGTTTTTTTAAAGAAATATGCAATATGTGGAATTAATTATACAGGACGAAATATTTCAAATCATTCTGGAAGAGATACATCAATACAATTGATTTTTAATACTGGAAATGAAAAAATCAAAGCAATGGCAATATCTGGACATAGTTCATCATTTGGTATTCGAAACTATTTGAAAATTAATAATACTGAAAAAAAAATATTCTTACTTCTGCAATGCAAAAATTAGCAAATAATTTCAATACTAATGTAATATATTTTTATTTATTTTTTTATTTTTTATCATAAAAGGGCATTAGATGCAAAATTTATTAAGTATATGAATTGATACACAAATTACATCAAACATCTTTGTACAGAAATGTGTGCAAATTAATGTTAACCTATCTACGATGCTAACTATTGCTATCTTTGTTACACTTGATGTAATTCAGATTGGCTCTAGTGCTGGATGGTTAACGCCCTTCCAGAGCTGCGATTAGATCATGTGATTTGAATACATTGCTTGAGTTGGTATCTTGTGCGTCAGTTGAGGAAACAATGAGATGAAACAAGTTTTGTCTACAGGTGGGAGTCACTGCGTTCCTGGCTTTTTTATTTTGTGAGTTGCTTTGTGATTTGGTCCATCTGATTCCTGAGGCTATTGATGTGTTTGCGGTTGCTGATCTGGGGACCCATATTAGTATATACAGGAGTTTTAAGATGCTGTTTATTATTTTGGCAAATTTCTTCTTTGGTAGCCGGTTCTTGAGGTCTGTAATGCCGCATGCCACTTTCTCTAGTTGCGATTTTCTATTGAAGTCTAGGTTGATTTTTGTTTCATCGGTTTTTTTGAGCAGTTTGCTGATTTTTAATTTCATTTTGAATTCAATCTTTTCGTACGCCTCACTATTCTTGTAACATGTGAAGATGTGTTCTTGGGTTTCTGGTGCAATTAAACATCTTGGGCAAAGGTCGTCTTGATATATGGCTGGATATCTTTCATGCAGGAGCTTTCTTGTTGGGAGAGTGCCGCTTAGGATTTTACTTCTGAATGCTAGTAACGAAGATAAGTTATACTTGTCTTTCTTAATTAGCAAGTTATTTGCAAGGACAAGGCTTTGTATGGTTTCTAATTGTAGTGTGGTGTCCCATCTTTTTTTGACTGATGAGCTGTTGATAATGTCGATAAGCCTATAGGTCTGCTGTGTTCTTTTGATCCATGTTA